GTTCGTGTAGCAGATCGTACTCGTGTGTATGCCTCCTGCGAGTGTCCCGGGTTCGTTGAGTCACTGTACTTCAACACACCGCTGGCCATCAGGTTTCAAGCTGATCACTGTGCAGGAACATCGCCGTCCCTACTTTTATTATTAGTCTCTTCTCGTAGCTAGCCTAGACGCTAACTAAACAAGTGTTCGTCTTTGTACTTCGTTCTTCGTGTTCCTCTGTTCCGTAGCGCGTCCACTACAGTTCGTCGGCTGCGTCCGTAATGTCAAGATCCGCGTACTTAACCTTAGCAACGACCTTCAATGTAGCCACTTCGGCCCTCCGTCACTTTTCTTCGGAAACGTGTAGTTCTGCCGGGGGTCGCTTCTCTGTCGACTCCGTCCACCGTTGTTCTTCGTTCGTCACTTAGTTACGCGCTCACTCCTCTATCGGGTGCCACAAGCAAAGACAACACACCTCGTACGTCTGCTACACTCACTTGTGTTCTGCCCGTCCGATTCCAGAGTGAGTGCTTCTCACTCCTCCTTATGGTCGCGTGTTTTCTCCGCCTGCGACCCTTCACTGTTCCGTTGTGCACGATCCTGCGTGTCCACCACACGTTTGTTGGGTTTATTCGACTCTTCGTCGGAGCTGTTCATCCACCGGTCCTGCTGGAAGATCTCACCAGCAGCCGTCATGCCTACACCGTGCCCCACTAACCTGTTACACGCCTTCTTCGTTTGTAGAGTCTTCCACGACTCTACCGGCCCGAAAGTACACCTCGTACTCGTCGGCCGACACCCATCGGGCTACGTTGTCGTCATGTCCTCCCCGTGATTGTCGCTCTGCAGGTCGTAACGTGTACTCCAGCACGTATTGTCCGCCCTTGTTGCGCCGTCGTCGTCTTCGGGTTTCAACCAGTCTTGCACTCGACTCGTGCCATTCTTCTTCTCGCTCCATTGTCGTGCTTCGTCGTCTCTTGCCCGTTGTTCCAGTGGCTGGCTGCACTGCTGCTGTCATTGTTCGTGCAGGCTCCCTTGACGCCTCGTCATCGTACCTTAGGGCTTCACACTCGAGTTGCGTGTTCAGATCGGCTGCTGCCTTCGCTAGTAGATCAGATTGTGTGTGATACGTTGTTAAGAAACTCATGTGCGCTATAAATTCTTCTGATCCGTTGTTCTGATCTTATCGTCGAACTAGGTAGTTTACGTAGCCGACGGGTTCTACAATTCGTAGTGGTCCGATCCACGAATGTACCAACTTCGTCGATTTCGGTCCTTTTGGAGGTTGGAACATCTAAACTCGATCTCCTCTTACAAATTTCCTCGTATTCTTGACTCGTCGGTTGTAATACTTTGCTTATCGTGCTTGCTCCTTTCTCCGGTCTCGTTCTGCGCATTAATGGCTATTCTTCATCGCTGTCAACAACTTCCGATGGTATTCCGTTCAACGTACCCGCCTCTATCTTTCTACGCAAAAGCTCGTTTGGTGGTCGTACCCGTCGACCTATCATCAGTCCATTCGGTGAAAATGCCACCGTGGAGTGTTTGCCGGAGTTGTATGCGTACACAACGAAATCTACCCAATTATCCCAGTCATTTTGATCTTCACTCTGCATATACGTACTCACACAATCGTTCGACAAGTCCAATTATCTGTGGTCTGTAAGGTACCAGGTTTATTTGTTGTGCTTGTAGTAATGGCACTAGCTGCTCAATCGCTAATCTCGTCAATTTAAGCGCTCCATCAATTAATAGTTCTCGAAAGGCTCCAAATTTCAACACGATGGTCTTCATTATGAATCTTGCGACGTTCTCCGCAGTATGATGCTCCACCGTCATCGCT